TTTTTTGTTTAAACAGAAAAAGGGGAAGTGATGTGAGAGTGTCATATATCAATCTGTTGATTTCATTGGTTAAGCAATAAAGGAACTCCTTGGCCCTGATAGGTTAAAAGATAGATGGGAGGAGGAAACAGAATAGAATTCTGGGCGGAAGAGGAAGTGAGGTCAGACTCTGCTCTGCTCCCAGAGAGACCCAACAGCTCTGCTCTCTGGAGCAGAGACACCAGGATGGAAGGAGGCTAGACTCTTCCCGCTTGGGGCGCTTACACACATCATTAGAAATGGGCTAGTCCAGGTGCTAGAATTAGCCTGTAAGGGCTAGAGTTCATGGGCCAAGCAGTTCTTAAATGAATACAGTTTGTGTGTTGTTATTTCGGGCCTGAGCTAGCCAAGCGGCCGGGGTGTTGGGGACGCAGCCCCGCCGCTCCTATTTCAACAAATCTTGACTGTGTTTTTTTTTTCCCCTAACACACTCCTTTCTCCAGCAACCACAGTCAATCCCTTGGCAAGGCCTAGGTACCCACCCTGTCCTCCATCCCACGTTATTCCTACAGCCTACAATGCTCCTCCTTCGTCACTCAATCCAGGATACACTGGATGTCTTATTCCGACTTTTAAAAACACAGTTCTACTTCAGGTTCTTTGTATATAATTTTCTGTCGTGATCGAGCGCGCATGCTGGGATTAAAGGCGTGCGCCACCACCGCCCTGCCACATTACTGTTTTAATCCAACATTAACACTAATCGAACCTATCTATTTGTTATATTTTATTTTTCTTCTTAGGGTTAGAGCACGCCCAGTTTCGCCAGGGTCAAACCATCTCTCCTTACCCTGTGGCCCAGTAAGTACCTCAATTGATCTTTAGCCCATACTATGCACTCAGTAAATCGATGCTGTACGGAGGCATCGGCGAATGAGTGCTGCGAAGAAGTCGCCAAGACCCAACGTGAGACACTCTTTGGCGGCAGGCGAGTGTGGAAAGACATTCCCACCGTCCACCGCAGGCAGGCGGGGGAATCTCATTGCAACTCAACAGGTTCTCTGCATCCCGAGTCGCTCGCACCGCCCGGAACCCGCGCCATCCCGGCCGCGGCCCGCTCACCGGCTAGCTCCCCGGCCTCGACTCCCGCGGTGGCCGCCGCGGCCTGGCTCAGCGGCGGGCGGGGACGGGTTAGCGTCTGGGGCGTCGGGTCGGCGGTGCGCGACCGGTTCGGGGCTCAGACGCTCCTGCTTCACCACCACGGTCGCCAGCGCGTCGTCTGCCCGGTGTCGCCGCCGGCCGCTTCGCTCCCGCTCGCTCTTCCCCTCCTTCATCCTGCGGCCCGACCGAGAGCCTCTTGTACAGTCCGTTGAGCCACTCGAGCCGAAGGAAGTGACGGGCCGACCTTTGCACTTCCGCTTCCGGGAAGCACGCTATCCCAGAAGCCCTCACGGCGGGGCCGCAGGTGATAGGGTTCGCACGCAGGGGACGCCCGGGCTGGTGGCAGAGAGATCTGGGCTGCTAGCAAGTGAGACTGGAGGGCTGGAAAGTCAGGGCCAGACCTCGGAAGACTGAGACAGGAGGATCGCTGTAAATTCGAGGCCAGCCTGGGCAATTTAGTGAGAATTCTATCTCAAATTTTGAAAAAGTTGTCTCTCAGCTAGAGCAATTGCCTAGCCGAACCCAAAGTCATGGATTCTGTCCACAGCACCGCCAAGTAGAAATGATTGAAGTTAAAAGGGGTGGAAAGCCCGGGGATGTGGCTTAGCTGTACAGTGAACGTTTGCCTCGCGTGTGCAAAGCCCCGGGGGCAACCTCCAGGATCTCAAAAATGATCAAACTATTTTTTTTAAAAATCCGTTTTGTTTTGTGTTGTTTTTCTATCTGTATCCCTGGCTGTCCTAGAATTTACTCTGTACACAGGCTGACCTCGAACCCGGAGAGCTGCCTGACTGCCTCCCAAACGCTGGGATTAAAGGCATGCACCACTTCTGCCTGGCTTTTTAAAAAAGGAAAATCTTATGTAGGAAAGCTAATCCAATGCTGTTCGTGGAGGATTGTTGATAGTTACAAAACACAGACAAATACTCAACAATAGGAAACTATTTTTTGTTTGTTTGTTTGTTTGTTTCTTGAGACAGTGTCTTCATGCAGCCCTGGCTGTCCTGTAACTCACAAAGATCCACCAGCCTTTGCCTTCCAAGTGCCAATCATCGCCAAACGATTTAAGAAGTCAGGAGATGACGTCCGTTTTCAGGCTCAGCAAAGGTGGTCTGCCCATTTCATCACATCCCTTATTAGATCTAGCGCTAGGGCTCCATTCAGTCTTGTTCACCAAGAAACCGGGAGCTTGTGGAGCGAGCTCAGTAGAATAAAATTTGCACGCGACCAGCTCCGCCTCCCTACGAAGCCCCGCCCCACCCATTAGGCAGGCGAGGAGGGGTTTCCATGGTGACCGCAAACAAGGCCCCACCTGGAGGGACCACTACAGCATTGCCAGCCCTGCTGCCACTATGATACCCCCCGCAGACTCTCTGCTCAAATATGACACTCCGGTGTTGGTGAGCCGGAACACAGAAAAACGGAGCCCCAAGGTATGAACAGGTCTCACGGGGGCGACATCCTACGGATTCCCGTGGAGATAGACATCCCAGCTTTGAGGATCTCTGGAATTTCAGGAAAAGGGTTGCTGGGCCTAACAGCCAAGGGAATTGGGACAGGGACGACGGAGGTTGGGAAAGGAGTAAGACAAGCCTAACTGTGACCCCAAAGGGCAGATTTAAGATCGGAAAGAAGTCTAGGGAAATGGATAAGGTTTGTGGTAGGCAGGTCCAAGTATGGGCCAGGTAGTGACTTCTCCATCTCTAGAGACACCAGTTCAAACACGGCCAGAGCCAGATAGACCTCTATGCCTCTTCAGCTCATACTTCTGTTGAGACCATAGATGAGGGAAGTCGCCCGGAAATGGGGAAGCCTGTACAAGAAAGCTGGAGCAAACTGGACATCCTGTCTCACCTGTCTCTTAGGCTCGGTCACTGAAAGTCAGCTCCCAGCAGCCTGGACCCTCAGGTCCAGTCCCACAGCCACCCAAGGGCAAACTACCCTCAACTTCCTGTGTCCCAGATCCTGCGAAACAGGCAGAAGAAATCTTGAATGCCATCTTGCCTCCAAGGTAAAAAAAAAAAAAAAAAAAAAAAAAAAAAAAAAAAAACACAAATAAAAGGGGTGGGGGATGGATGCAGTGGCTGGATGAAGGTCCAAACTCTTGGCCCCAGAACTTAGATGTGTCAAGCCAGGAAGTTTACCTGTGTGTTCTGCCTTGGGTTTTCTCTCAGCTTTCTGGGTTTCATGGAGTCTGACTATAGCTGGAGCTCACAGCCAAGCAGGAAACCTCTAAATCCATCCTCTTACCATCCATATTCTGAGCAGTCTCATGACTTCAGATGCCAGCAACGCAATCAGCTTTCAAATCTAGGTCTCTAGTCCAGCCCTGTGCCTCCTAAACCCCATTCCCAATATTCTGCTTTCTTGGTAGTGCCATCGAGATTTCCCATAGAAACTGGGAGGTGGTGACACACACCTTTAATCCCAGTACTTGGGAGACAGAGGCAAGTGGATATCAGTGATTTCAAGACCAGCCTGGTCTACAGAGCAAGTTACAGGAAAGTTAGGAATGTTACACAGAGAAACCCTGTCTCAGGAGGTGGGGGGGCGGGATCCCCATAGAGAGTCTGATGTGGTGGCACTCTGCTAGACAGGAGAATTGCCTCAAAGGCAAGGCCAGCCTGAACTGCAAAAGGAGTGCCAGGCCAGCTAGTGCTGCATAGCAAGGTTGTGTCTCAAAAAAACTCACAAATGTCCAATAAGGCAATGTCGGCTGAATCTCACCTTTAATCCCAGAATGCAGGGGGCAGAGGCAGGAGGATAAGAATTTGAGGTCAGCCTGGGCTACATAGCCTAGCTAGAATTCTCAAAAGCCTCTACCTAATGGACATTTTTATACCCAAGGCAATAAAGCTCTTTCTCGGGAATAAAGGAACCACAGAGAGCCTGTGATCTTCTCCAGAGATGGAGATCAGGAGAGAGGTGTCATTTATCAGCAGATTCTCTCCCAGCAACATAGATGTCCTCCCTCCCTTGCCATTCTGCCTTTGTCACTGCAGGAATTGGCTGTGCCTCCAGCACAGAATTCATTATGGACAGCCATTGCAAACACAGCCCTTCAAGAACACCCATGCCCCCACCATACATAAATACTTCCTACGGGCTTGCATGAGTTTAATGATATTCCGTGTCTCCATCGCAAGCTAGTGTGGGGATTTCCCACTGCATCTTCTATTCAAATCAAGCAGCAGGACCATACACCTGTCCTCAACATGCTAGGCAGGTCTGACCTGGAACAGAGTCGTGGTCTGGACTGTAGAGATTACCCATCATCTGCCCAGCCCTGAGGGAGTTGTCCTGAGGCTGCAGAGTGGGTGTGGCTTGGGAAGGAGAGGGAAGTGAATTCTGGTGGCGGGGTGACTGTGCCACCTGTCACTCCTGCTCGGGCCCTTTGCTCACGTCGGGTGACTTGTATCTGTATCATAGGGAGTGGGTGGAAGACACGCAGCTATGGATCCAGCAGGTGTCCAGCACCCCCAGCACCAGAATGGATGTGGTGCATCTACAGGAGCAGCTGGACCTGAAGCTGCAACAGAGACAGGCCAGGGAGACGGGCATCTGCCCCGTGCGCAGGGAACTCTACTCGCAGTGTTTCGGTGAGGAGGCTTGGTGGGGTCAGCGCTGTACACCGTCTGCCTCCATCCAGCACAAAAACTAAGCCCTGGTTACCCCCAAACTACATACTTCCCCCTGTTTTAGGGATCCTCTCTTCTCCCTTTTCCTGATTCGCCACAGCTGCTGGGTACATTCATTTCCCCCGCCAGTCTCTACCTCAGCTAGGCACCTGGGTGCCGTATCCCACACGGATGTTGGTTTGATTTTCATATAGATGGAGATTTATTTTGGGTGTGGGTGCACACATGTGTGCATGCATGTTTTTATGAGGACACACTTGTGTCAAGCAATGAGTATAGAGGTCAAAGGATAACTTATAAGAATTGATTCTCTCCTACTGTGTGGGTTCTGGTGATTGGCTCAGGCCATCAGGCATGGTGGCAGGTGCTTTACCCACTAAATCATCTCACTGGCCCCCTTACTAGGTGTTTGGAGTAAGGTAAGAGCTTCTATTTTAGCCAGGTGTGGGGACATATACCGTTAATACAGGCCTCAGAAGGCAGAGGCAGGCAGTTCTTTGTTTTGAGGCCAACCTGGTCTACATAGTGAGTTCCAAGCTAGCCAAGGCTCCATTAAAAAAGAAGAAAATAAGAGAAAAAAAGACGTCTTATTTCGAGTCTTTGTTGTTGTTTTCCCCCCAAGGATTTCCATAATGAGCCTGTACTATTTTTTTTGGCAGGATCTCAATATCTAGCCCTTTGGCCTGGACTCAGATCTGCCTGCCTCTGCTTCCTTAGTATTCGAGTTAAAGGTATATGTCACTACTCCTGGCTTTATTTTTTTTTGATTTATTTTTCGATACCAAATGACCATTCCTGGAAACATATACACACAACTAACATTGTATGGAGTGGACAGGTTATATTTATATATTAAAGAATATAGCAGTCAGACAGTGGTGATGCACACCTTTAATCCCAGCACTTAGGAGGCAGAGGCAGGCAGATCTCTGAGTTCAAGGCAAGCCTGGTCTACAGAGTGAGTTCCAGGGCAGCCAAGGCTATCCAGAGAAACCCTCTCTTAAAAAAAAAAAAAAAAAAAAAAAAAAAAAAAAAAAAACAGGGGCTGGGGAGATGGCTCTGTGGTTAAGAACACTGACTGTTCTTCCAGAGGACCTGGGTTCAATTCCCAGCACCCACATGGCAGCTCACAACTGTCTGAAGATCCAGTTGCAGGGGATCTGACACCTTCACACCAATGCACATAAAATAAAGTTAAATAAAAATATAAAAAAAAGAAAAACAAAAAAACAAAACAAGAAAAAATAATACACACACATATGTAACAAGAAGAAAAGAGTCTATGAATTCAAAAGAGTGGGGGAATCATGCCTGGGAGAGGAAGGAGGGAGGAAAAGGAAGAGGGAAAATGGTACAGTTATTTTATAACTCTCAAAAATAAAAATAATTTTTGTTTTGCTTTGTCTGGACAGGGTTTTTCTGTGTAGCCCTGGCTGTCTTGGAACTCACTTTGTAAACCAGGCTAGCCTCAAACTCAGGTATCCACCTGCCTCTGCCTCCTGATTACTGGGATTAAAGGCATTCACCCCCACTGCCTGGCTAATAAAAATAATTTTTATATGATTTCTTTTTATTTTATTTCATTGGTGTTTTG